AAAATTACACTCAGATTCAAAATGAATGCTTTGTGTTTACCGGATGTACTGGAAATGGAGTAAGACTACACTCAGGCAGAGGCTTATACATTATGCTTATGCATTGCTGCAGCAATCTCGAAGCATTAGAAAGCGTCATCAAACAGTCTAATATGTCGATGGATGAAACCTGACAGGCACTGTAGCTCATGTGTTTGACAAACCTGATACTTGGCCACTTTGAACTCTGCTGTGGACTAAATTATGGAAGAAAAAAAAAGCATTTTGAAGTTAAGAAAGCAGCGTCTGGTTTAGTTGTTGGCTTTCAGTGTTATTAAAGGATTGATTTGTGAACATATATCAAAGACTTGTCTGCTGATCTGTCAGTTCTCTTCTAAGAGAACAACCTGATTCCTAGAAGGTCTTTAGACATTAAGAGGGTCTAGTTTTTACGAACTGTCTAAACCCTGGAATAAACTTTATTCCCTGCTTTATTTATTTATTTTGTCTTCTGGCTGTAAGCATTTTCAGATCCATATTTTTGTTCTATAGGCCTCTATAGACCTAGAGGCCTCTTATAAAGCTTCCTGTTGACCTAATAGAAGATTTCGTCGTTTTGGGCGAAGGGTGTAAAATTCAGAGAGATATAATAATCAACCAGCAATATTCTTACATCAGTCCACTGTGCTGTAGTTCATACAAAGGCTATCACCTCATTCAAATCATTACTTCTGAGTAGACCCGATTCACAAAGTTTCTTTAAAGACTAGGTGCTTATGATAATGTGATGATACTGAGCCAAAATCACAAATATTTTTTGCTAAGTCCATTTAAAAAGTATAATTTAATTAGGTCATCTAATATTGGCATGGTGGACAGTAAACCTTATGTGTGAAGCGCTGAGTTTCCTTGACAAAAAAATGCCATTTTCCGAGTTATTCCTGGCAAATTTGCCATTTTTCTGAAATTTGCTATGAAGCTGTTGGTGTTTATGCTTTTAAAATGGGTCTAAGTGTACACCAATGTCGTTTCCAGGTGTGACCACAACAGTTGGCGTTTCGGGGTCCAGCTACAGGCCAGCGTGCGTGGTCATTTGTGTGCCTGCTTCGTGTTGTTATAAGTGAGTGGCTTAGCAGCTGGGGGTTGCAAAGTGATGCCAAGATGCTGCTGTCCCTGGGAATGCTGATGCTGTCGGCCACACAGATTTACACCATCTTCACCGTTCAGCTCTTCGCCTTCCTCAACCTGCTGCCCGTGGAGGCCGACATCACTGCTGTAAGTAATCCTTTACACAAACGCATTTAGAAGACCAGCTATGCTTCTTAAAGGAAAACCATTAGATTAAGAAACTAAACCTGCCTCTTTATGTTTTCATAAGTGCCTTGCACTGCTGGTGAATTAGTTTTCCTTTCTTTCAGTTCTCATTTGACAACAAAACGGACACCTTTGATGATTTGCCCGCAAGGTTTGGCTACCGGCTCCCCAGCGATGGACTTAAGGTGAGTGCAAAGAGGCACCAGGTTTGTTTTTATGACTTCTGGCTTAGATGTTTGCTGGGAATTTTTCACTTTACAGCTCCATTGGATTAAAGTTTAAACAGCTAAGATGCAAAGTTCCCAAACTCGAGGAAAACTATTTTACATGTCCTGAAATCTGAGCAAAGTAAAGATCGTTACATGTACAGTCAGAACAAAACCTGGTTGTACAAAACGTGTTGATGCATGTGACAGAAAAAACCTTTTAAATGCGTTTAATCTTTAATGCTTCTAAAATTGCATTAACATGACTAAGTTTATGAAAACAGTGGAAATATCAATAGAAAACAAAATAGTTGCCAACATGAAAGGGTGATTTTTATAAAACGTGCAACTCTGCTACAGAGACGTACAGATCACACCCCAGATGGGCTCAAATGAAGAGCTGTTAAGATTTAATTATATGTGGTGAAGGTGCTGTTAACCATTGTTGCTTAGTGTTGTTGTGAGGCTTCTGTATGACACTGTGCAACCAGCAGTCCTCTCAGTGGTTCTCCTACAAAGCTCACAAACAGAAGGGGTGATTCATGTCTGCTGCCTAAGCGGGTTATTGTGGTGCTTCCCACAGTGAAGAGCTCGCTTGTTGTTATCGTACAAAGGCTTTTCACACCAGACCAAGCTGATATTGACATGCTTTGTGCCTTGTTTCGTATTTTCTGTTTAATGCCCGAGTTAAATGATCTCTACTCAGTCGTATGTATTGATCACAGTTATCTGAATTTAAGAGCACCATAACATGAAATGATTCTTGTAGGATTGCAACAACTTGAATATGAACTTGGCTAGTTGGGCGAGGCATACAGCCACGTGTTTGTAATTTGGCTTTCTTTTACCACCACATCCTTCCTTTTAACACGCATACAGTGCACCTTTGCACTGTTTGGTGTAAAACTGTTAGAGCCATTTATATACAAGCCTGACCTGTATTAAGCAACTGGAAATTATTACTTATTAAAATTCTTGCAAAGGGGTCGTAGACTGCAGTGTCACCTCCAAAGTTCCTTCTGAATGCATACTGCCGTTACTTGCAGTGTTTGTTAAGAACTTGTTAGACCGTAAGACTCTTGCTCCTCTGCAATGCCAATAAAAACCTTTGGCATCACAAGGCAACAGAAGCTTGTTTCCAGAGGATTCCCCCTTGGGGCTGGACGAGGCTTCAAACAGAGCCTTCGCTGTTTCCACTTGCACAGCGTGGGCTGTTTACAGTCTCGATGCAAAGCTACTGCAAACATATCTGTACCCACCGTGCAGGGTGACATAGAGGTGGGGTTAATGTGCAGCACGACAGAAAAGTTCTGTGAGATTTGAGGATGCAGAAACTGGTGGAGGTTTGATTTTTTTTTCCTTTTAATGCTAGTGTAGTCAAAACATTTCATTCAATAATTCAATTCAATAAAACTTTATTGAGGGGTTTGAACAGCCGGTTCCGCTTCCTTAATTCTTCGATAAGCCAGGGCCAAGCCAGCTCGATCAGCAAGAACCCTGTTATCATGGTTCCGAATAGGTAGATATCTTCAGCACTCAGGCTCACCCGAGCCCAGACTTCTCGTTGAGAAGGGTGTCAATTGCATTCAGAGACCAGTTGATCAAATCCATAATTGTCTTTTAGGTTTTAGAGAACAGACTGTGAGGGAGTGTTCCAGGGAAAAGTAATACAAAAAACACGAGACTAGACAAGGACATAAGAGGCTAAGCAGGGAAGCTAAGGGAGAGGAGGAGGAGGAGGAGAGGAGAAAAGTGCAACCGCCTTTGTCAAGAGCAAGAGCAGAGCACATGTATACATTCAAAGGTAAATGTCTACATGTTTTGCACAAATACTTTTTTACTTGGTGATTTTAAGTTGTTTTTATGCCTTTTCTGCTGTAGACAGTCGTCGGCAGAGGTTTATGTTGTCTGATTCTCCATCCGTCCCATACCAGTGAATATTATACATCGGGATCACTCTGAGGGAATTTTTTGAAATTTGGTTATATTGATTAGACTGGTTAGATTTCAAGTTTAAGTTCATTCTGACACAATGAAACATGTTTTGTTTTGTTAGCAAAACTCAAATTTTTAAGTGAATTTGACAAAGTTTTCACAGATTAAAGAATTTTACACCGGGTATCTTGCTGATGCAACCGCCAAGAGCTTTATGTCTCCTCCTGGAATGTGTAAACACTCCACTGTCTGATTGGTTAAAATGATGGCAGACATTGTATAGAAGAACACCCACTGAAACAATTTTGGTTTTTAAATCTTTGGGAGAACTTTGCAACAGCAGAAATGGAAACGAAAGAATTACTTCGAGGAACAGGAAGCTCGACAAACTTCTTCTTTTTTTTTTTTTCATCGGGTTTTGACACATTTGATTGAAGATTCTATATTTCCTCTTTTTTAATGTCCCGTGACAACAGAAAGTGCCCGAAGGCGTTTGGAAATTGCAGCTGGATGTTGAGATTTGATTCTGTCCGGTCTTAGGTGATGACATTTTATATCTGAGAGATCAACGTTCACGTCTGGTCAGACCTGGATTAGAAGTGCAAGGTGACTGGTTGGCAGCAGCTTACGATTAGTTGTGATATTATTGCCGACACGAGCAATTACAATACCATTTGGCACCTTCATGTGAAGTGAAGTATTATACAAAGTTCACCATCATGGAAAGTTTTAGTCTTTATCAGCTCTGCGGTGATTCTGGAAGGAATCATCTGTGACCTCGTATTTATTTATTTATTTTTTAAGACAACAATAAATCCAACTTGAAATAACTGCCCCCCCTCCTCCCCCCTTTTTCCTTTATGCAGTTGAGTTATTTGCATACCACCGCAGTTTCAGATGTTTTGTTTTCATTCCTTTTTTCATTTTATTTTATTTTTTTTCACCCACTTTCATTTCCCCAATCCGCGCCTGGTCAGTAGTCACAGTTTCACCTCGCTAAAGTTTACTCTGGAAAGTCCGCGGTTTGGCTCATGCAGCAGCAGATGGTGACCGACTACAGCTACGCCTGGCGTTGTTGTTGCTAAATGATCCTCAGGCACCCGTTTAAAAATAAACAGCTTTCTATTATTTAAATGGGTCTAATGCTGCATTCAAAGACTAACTGAAAAAAAAATAGTCAAAAACCTAAAAAAAACTTATCGGTATTTGTTTAGATTTTTTTTTTTAAACTACAAATACAGCGCAATATATCATTACTGTAGTACATGTAGCACATAGCTGTGATTACTGTACTATAGCTCAGTTTGTTTGTTAAACCACAGTAGAGAGAAGGCAGGAAAGCCGAGAGGACGACCAGGGAATGATCTCAGGTCAGATTCAGCCTTACAGCACATGGGTTGCACCAGATAGTTCTAATTATTGTTTGTGTCTGGATGACTTAATCAAGCTTTATACTCTTTCTGTGTGTGATGAGTAACTTTGTGCCTATTGCCTAACCAGGCCATAAATGGATCTGACCAGTCAGACCACTGCGTTTGACAACGAGTGCGCTCATAGCTCAAAATACAGCCTGGTACTGAATATACAATGATATGGAAATAGGGTTATTTTACTATTTTACCTCAGTTGCAGCTAGAAGCTGCTCTGGGTTGATTTCTCTGCCTCCTCAGATGTGATCCCAACAAGATCTCAAGAAGTTAATGAACCCAGAATCTCTTCTGTTCTGTCTAATTCTGGGACATACACATTTCCTCAGTAAAATGTGACCCAGAAACATACCACTTTTTTTTCTTTTTTTTTTAAAACATATGTACACTGCAGCTGTACTGCGTCAGCGTTATTTCTGTACAGGATGAGTGCAATAAGTTTCAGTAAGATTGTCCCAAAACCAAAATGTAACACTAAACAGGGTGAAGTCAGTGTCTGTCTGAATAAAAGCAAGCTCTCACTCAGCATGACAAGCTCGCTGGCCGTGCATGAGGTTGGGTTTTGAAGTGCTTTATGCAGGTGAACTAATAATAATCATCATATCTGAGAGTGGAATCACACAGGTTTTAATCTGCTTACAGAAAGCCTCGGTCGAGCGAGTTATTAATTGCTTTGTTTCTATCTCTCTCAACCCCGAGCAAAGCTGCAAACAAGCCCTGTGGTGAGATTTACACTGACGGGATTAAGCGTAATCACTGTGCAATCATTTGAAAGAGTTGGCTTGGCTCTTGAATTCTGCAACAACACAAAGTCCCACTGTTTGTTGGCACTTAGGCACTCTGTTAGCACTCTCTGCAGTTGTTTGTACTCTAGTCAGTAGGAGAAGGAGAAGAAATTAAATCGTTTTCTGATCCTATTTAACGCTGACTCTCTTTAAATGTGATTATCAGTTTTATTTTGGAGAGCGCTACTCCACTAACAGGTTTTATTAATTATTAGCCTTTATTTGAAGCGAGATTTAAAGAAAATGCTTTGCTGGGTTAATTGCTACTACCGCAGCAGTTCTGCAGTCCCACCTCTTCTTTGTGTTCTTTGTGACATTCGCAGCTGGTTAGTTGTGCAAAAGTGCTTGTAAGAATATTTGAACCACTGCATTCTTTCCATCATAATCATGTTAAATGAGTTGTCCTCAGATGGTGCTTCTTCCACATGTGGTTTTCTTGCTATGATGGGCTAAAAAACTGTTACGGAATAAATTAGTGCTTTTTAAGAGTTACTTTTAAAATTTCTTTTATCTATAATGTGTTTACCCTTTTTTCACATCTCTGGAAGCATCACAGCTGAGGTGCACTGTCTTTATTATTATTAAAAAAAAATGCCTAGATGTTGATTTAGTTAGACTTTAAGGTGATATCGTCTACTGGTTAAGTGCGGTCTTGTTGCACAAGCAGAACATTTGTGTCATCTCGGTTTGTATTTTCAGGATCCACCCCCAGGTATTTCCTGTTTCCTCCCCGGCTCCTGTCTCTGCATTCTGCAGTACTTGCAGATGTTTTGGGGGTCTTTTTTAAATTGCTTTTTATGTACAACAGAGGGCGCTCTTGCCACTGGTTTCAGGAGTCAGGAGGAATGTGAGGCAGTAGCACAGTGATGTCATTTAACAGCAAGGCTGGGCTGCGCTGGAGGCACCCAGAGGTGACGACAATGTGGGAAGCGGGTGATTCCTCACGTTCCTCCGGTCTGTGATATTTCAGAGAGATCCCTGGTCTTTGAATTTGATCTTCCCGTTAATGTTAAACTAAAACCAGACACTGCCTTTAGTCAGCATCTTTCTCTTCCGTGCTGTCGTTAACTTCCAGCTGATTTGTTGGCATTTCCCGTGTTGAGTTCAGCCGGTGTTCTGGAGGCACAGAGGTGTGGCAGCTGGCAAGATGTGCACAAAGAATATCAGTTTCCTGCTGGTTGAAACTGGCCTTATGTGTGTGGTAGAAAGTGCTGACTCTCTTTGATATACTGGGCTGGCTTTGTATATGTGAGAGAGAGAAACACAGAGCGATGGAAGTGAAGGCAGAGTCCCAAAGTCCCACAGCAGCTCACACTTCCTGTCTACCACCCTGCCTTAGACACACACACACACACACACACACACACACACACACACACACACACACACACACACACACACACTGGTGTTAGTTACACTTCCATTAAAGCGGCAGAGGTTTTTGAAATAGCTCTCCTCGTGTTGATTTCTTCTCCGTGCATCTCATCTGGTTCTTTGCTTAGTCACTTCTATTTTTGTCTCCATTCAATTTTTTTTTTTCTGGTTTTCCTATTTTGTCCACAGCTATCTTTTCTATCTTTTGCTGTCTGTGCTTTTGTACATCTTTTATCACTACCAGGCTTTCTCTTTCTTCTCACTATCTTCTTCTCGTCCGTCACTTCAAAGCTGTTGTTGGCTATGTTACTAAGGCAGGAAGCAGCAGCAGAGAAGAAGAAAGAGGATCAGATTTTTGAGACAGTCTGAGAACAACAGCATCCTTGATATGTAGCTGACTGTAATATGTATGTGTCTTCATTCCAGTGGAAAGTTCTGCATTCATTATACATGCAGCACAATGTCACATGAATATGGTGCATGTAGGGGTTGCGAACCAATGTTGCAAACCAGCAATTTATTTTCTCCAGCTTTCTTGATGTATGCTGCTTATCTAGGAGGACAAAGGTTTAAAGCTTTAGATTAAGGAACAAAACTCTGTTGTTGACGCATGTTAACCACACGCAGGCACACGCAGATCCCAGAAATCTCGCCTACAATGTAAATCTTGGAAAGGATGGAAAGGACTGAAAAAAGGCACCTCAGATATGTTTGAAGTTTGAAAACGTGATCTAATTCTTGTCTAACTTGTGATATAAGTGAACCAAATAAAGATCAATTTGGATGGAAGTCACATTACCCCTTCATAATATCCCCACAGGGCTTCCTGATTGGCGCTCGACCAGAAAATGCCTGCGAGCCCATCGAACCCCCGCCGAAGGAAAACTTGACGGGCAACTTCATCGTCCTCATCAAGCGGTTTGAATGCAACTTTGACATCAAGGTACCATATTCACACCAACGATCACACACAGTATATTACCCCAGTTATTGTGTTTGAGTCCTTGTCTGAACATCTCTAGTCCTGTTGTTAAGGTGCATACCCGAGCAGATCCTGTGATATTCTAATTGCACTGAATGATTTTGACTGCTTCCTGTGTGAATGCTCATTTAAAGCACTGAGAGCAACAGAAAACGCACGCTATTTCAGCAGCTGTAGACTGGTCAGGGCCCTGCCACTGTGTGCTTCACAGCGCATTCGTGTCAGCAGGTGGTGTTTCTGAGTGGATTCTTACCAAAACTCCTAGATCAGCTCATCGGGGCAGAAAAACAGGAAGAGGCCATTTCCCTAAACACAGTTTCCTGCCTCTTTCTTTTCCTCCTGCAGCTTTGTGATACCTGATGTGTGGAGTTGAAAAATGTTGGTTCCCAAATGAGTTTCCCAAAAGAGGCCTGAGAGCCGATCCTCATCAGTCAAGTCAAGTGTGTTGGGAGCATAGTTGTTTCCCTCGAATGGTAAAGCAGAGTTAGAGTAATGTCAATCATGTTGTAATCCTGACCTGTCAGTTTAAAGAGGAGAGGGAGCTTCTAAACTCGGATAAATCCAGACTAATCTATGTAATAAAGCTGCCCCCCTGGAGTTTTCTAGTTGACTAGTAGCTGCTAATTCAATGGATTAGACTACGAGTCGATTAAATACATTTCTGGGGTTAAAGAGAATGTGATTAAGCTTCATATCGCTGCACCGAGCATCCGACTGGCTATTTCATGTGGCCAGCTTTGGGATAATTTATTGTTTTTAAGCTCAAATTGTTTTGAGGGGGCTCTGTCATCTTTTAGCTTTTTAAAAACCCACATTTGGGGTTTCCTGTCATGTGTAACTAGGAGCTGCTGATAACATCGCTCTGCGACTGACTGGCTTGAGTGTCCATCAGTGAGGTCACTGTTCGTCCTGTGACCAACTGACCAATCAAAAGTCCCTCTGTCGTCATTGACTGTTTGGGTGACTGTCAGGGGGAAGAGTGGCCTACAGTGACTCTGGGTTTAAGCTGCTTTTAAATGGCTCAGGTTTCGAACACATTTTATTGATTTGCGCAGATGTGGAAAAGTATTCACCAGACTTTATTCCCTCCCACATAAAATCCATCTGTAAGATGAGAGCCAAATACAAATCACAAACATTATGTGCCCTTTTTTCCCCAGAGGTCTTGAGGACACATTTTTGCTATATGAGTTTCCATAAAGACGTTCGTCAGGAACAGCATCTATCCTGAATCTCTGCCAAAAACTTTACGGTTCCTCTCTGAATAAAAAAAACATCAACCTTGACATTAGAATAGCCAAGAGTAGTCATTAGAATAATTTGGCATTTTACTATTGATGGGGCACCCTGACCTGACTATTTTGGATGATCTGTGCCCAAATTAAGTTTTTAAGTGTTAAATCTGATATGCCTCACACTGCCTGTTGCTCACAGATTTGGAGTAGCAAAGAGGAGAGAAAAGAGATGCAGCATTATGATGAGTAATGGGCTAAAGGAGAGGAAGGCATGCAGCCTTTTGGCCTCTTGTTCCATTTATCTGTCTCATTTTCTTTTTTCTTTTTTCTTTTTTCTTGTACTGTTACCTTTTCCATTCCCCCCCCCTCACCCTCCCCGCTCTGCCTTATACCGTCTGGGTTGTGCCTTTTTATTCATTCAGTCTCACATTTCCTGTTTTCTCCCCCCTCGCCCCCTTTTTTTAAACTCGTTTTATTTTCATTTGCCATCTCTCTCACTTTTTCTCGCCTGCTATTGAAACTGTTGAGCAGCCATCAGCCATGTAGCCTTATAAGGTCTTACTGCTACACACACACACACACACACACACACACACACACACACACACACACACACACACACACACACACACACACACACACAGAAACATGTTGACAGACAGGGCAGTGAGGTGTTTCCTGAGCTGGATTGTAACCAGACTCCACATAGTTGTGTGTCAGACACACACACACACACACGATATATACACAATGCACATATTCTGCTCCATCATAAGCTGCCATTTAACCCTCTGTGACCCTCCTATGGAGCAGCTGAGATTTTTAAATTAATTATGTTGTTTTTTTTAACCGTGTGTGTTTCTTGAGAGACTGAATCATCAGCCATTAGTCATAATTAATTTTTTAAATTTTTTTGGAGCTGCTGATATTTCACAGCTTCTTCTGATTAAAGTGAAATTATTATTGTGTTAAAGCTTCACTAATTTATTTCTTGCCATCTTACTTTAAGCCAGAATTTCCCTTGTCCTTCCTAGCTGCCAACTGTGCATCCCACCACGCTTGTGATGTCAAACAGCATCGCAAACAAACAAAAAAAACCCAGTGATGAGTACAAATACTAAAGCTGCTGTACTTGGTGTCCCTGATAACATAATAATAATGAGTATGCCACCAAAACACGTATGATTTGACTCATGCACATGTTGTAATCATGTTTGTTGACATCTGTTCCATAAAAAGGACAAAAATATACATATATGAAAAATATTCATAAGGAAAGCTGTGGATGGATGGAGGAAAGGAGTTCTGATTCTTGTTGCTATAACCACATACTTACTATTTATAATAGTTTTAAACTTTACAGCAACACCATAAAGATAAAGGCTAAAACTAGTGAAAACTAATAAAGCCTAATTTGATAATTATGAGAGTAAACAGACATTTGTCAGTAATCTCTGGGTGTGGGTGTCGGGGAGGTCGTCTTTATGTCTCCTACTCTTTCTTTATCACCTCTCCAATCTCCTTTTCCCCCCTCAGTCTCGCTCTCCCTCTTTCTGTGAGGTCTCACTTCGACCTTAATGATTGGTCATCTACACACATCATCACTTGGAGACACACACAGACATGTGGCTTGCCCCCTCCCCTTAGCACTCTCTCAATCACCCTCCCAGTTGTTTCTCTTTCTTGCATCCCTCCCTCCCTATCACTCACACACACACGCACACACACACACACACACACACACACACACACACACACACACACACACACAACACCCTCCCACCCTTCCTCCCTCTTAGCTGGGCTCAGTTCCCTCCAGAAGCTGCAGGGAAACAAAGGAATAATAGATTCCATCTTGACTGAAACCAGGCGCTCATCTGTGGGGGTGTGTGTCTGCATGTGTGGGGTGCAGGGGTGTCACCCCTGCATGCCTGCAGTTTCGTCCTATTGCCCTCTATTTCTTTGTCCTTCTGCAGCCTCCTGCAGCTATTACACCTAGCCATTAGCATCCAGTGATCAACAGCGCAGAGTTGTAATGGATCCTGTGGCAGTAATGCCAATAAAACAGACACTCGCACACTTAACCCTTCGTCAAGCGTTAGCACCGTGTGTGTGTGTGTGTGTGTGTGTGTGTGTGTGTGTGTGTGTGTGGGCAAAGCATTCCTCCATGGCCTTTTTTTTCTCTTTCTTTTTTGTAAATAAATCTCCAGAGAGCGAGGGTTTGCACTTCCTGTGGACTGGGATTCTTTGAGGTGGTGTGGAGCGCCTCATTGGTGACCTTTCTGGGAGGAGGAGAGAGAACGGGACAGGAAACTCTATACCCTTTTCCTCCCCCTCTCATCCATGAGCATCCCCTCCTTTTTTTCCCCCATTTCATCCTTTGCTGAATGACCATCCATCCCCCCCCCAATTTCCCCTTCAGTAACACAAACACACAACAAGTCTGTATATGTTGCGATATAATATTCTAGTTATGTAATACAGACTCTTCTTTTACTCCTATAAGCTGTCCTTTTGAACAGTCAGTCCCTCTGCTGCCCTCTGTGTGATTGTTTTCTGGTTTAAACGGTTCCTACTGATCCAGTCTGTGAATGTTTTCGCTCTTATCTGGTTTTGGGTAATGTTTGTGCAACAACTGTGGCAGGTAGAGCTGACAGCTTTCTGTCTGGTGGAAAATTCCCAATCATTGACCTAAGTCGTGCTATGATTCATTCGAAAACTTACCGCTCAAAGTCAACCATTCAGTCTGGCGCAAAAGCTCTTTGTTCTGTCAGGAAGCTGCAAAATCCAGGCGATAAGATTACACATCAAACATTAAAAAGCCTCTTGCTACCAGAGTTTAGTTAAACATAGCCTGTAACCCTGTACTGATGTGATTCAAGAGCATGGTTGGAGAAAACTGGCATATAATTAGGGCTCACATTATTACTTTACTAATTGTAACTTTGGTTTGTTGTTCATGAACTCAAAAGTCATTAAAGAGTATTCTTAAGAAATAAAGGAAATTGGCACTAAAGGTTTCCTCTGAACATATCCTGATTCAGGAAGATGTAATGAGTGCCCAGAGCATGTTTTTGTTTTAACCCATATCCATGTAATTCTACTTTTAAATTTCTTACATGGTTACTTTTTTAACTAATGCAAAGTTTTTTTTTTCTTATTAGTCTGAATAGAAAACTCAAAATCAAAGCCAAAGTTGAGTCTAACAATCTTGTAACTCTCAACAGTGAAGTACTGTCTTGAATTCGGGCATGTTTACGCTATTAATCCCTATAATAAAAACATTTGTAATGGATTTGTCTTCCTGTTCACTGTCACATTAAAAGCTTACACTGATTTTGAGTGGAAATGGGTTGTACAGAGTAAATTCGGCAAATGTTTTTATGTGATCTGTGTCGATGAGAAGTTACAAAGTGCTTATTCACCAAGTCAAAATGTTGCTGCAGAAATCCAGTGAAGGAAAAGCGCGATAAACGGGTGACCGGTTAAACTTCATCGCTTTAGGCACAGTCACATCATCCTAAAGATGCTGACGGGCGACCCCCGGTACCACGATTGGTTTCTAGGGAAAAATGTGTATTCCCCAACAGTTTGGCGAGTGGTTTCTGTAACGACTTTCCAATAAGCTGGCACGTTGGTGTCACATCACCTAAGCAGTTTCTGGTGCGTGCCCCACATCTGTACGCAAGTCCAAACATCTTTGTGTCTGCTAGTCTTTTTTTAAAT